ATGTATATATATATATATATATGTATATATATGTATATATATATATATATATATGTGTGTGTGTGTGTTTATAAATCTACGTGCAATATTATGAGGTGCCCCCAGGGACATAAATCAGAATTAACTTGCATATACACATTTTAAATTACACTCTTCCATATAATATACTGAAAACCTCACACAAACACTAGTAAAAAGCTCTCACATAAACTAGTGAAAACATTTACCTCTTATATAATCTACTCAAAAGCTCTCATACAAAGTAGTGAGAACTGTTCATATAAACTGGTGAAAAGCTTTACCTTTCATACACACTAGAAAGCTTTCATATACACTATTAAAAAGCTCTCATATACACTATTAGAACGCTCTCATATACACTATTAGAAAGCTCTCATATACACTATTAGAACGCTCTCATATACACTATTAGAAAGCTCTCATATACACTATTAGAACGCTCTCATATACACTATTAGAACGCTCTCATATACACTATTAGAAAGCTCTCATATACACTACTAGAATGCTCTCATATACACTATTAGAACGCTCTCATATACACTATTAGAAAGCTCTCATATACACTACTAGAAAGCTCTCATATACACTGCTAGAACGCTCTCATATACACTACTAGAACGCTCTCATACATGCTACTAGAAAGCTCTCATACATGCTACTAGAAAGCTCTCATATACAGGTGCTGGTCATAAAATTAGAATATCATGAAAAAGTAGATTGATTTCAGTAATTCCATTTAAAAAGTGAAACTTGTATATTATATTCATACATTACATACAAACTCATATATTTCAGATGTTTATTTTGTTTAATTTTGATTATTACAAATGACAACAAATGAAAATCTCAAATTCATCATATCAGAAAATTAGAATATTACTGAAGACCAATAAAAACAAAGGATTTATAGAAATGTTGGCCAACTGAAAAGTATGAACATGAAAAGTATGAGCATGTACAGCACTCAGTATTTAGTTGGGCCTCCTTTGGCCTGTATTACTGCAGCAATGCGGCGTGGCATGGAGTCGATCAGTCTGTGGCACTGCTCAGGTGTTATGATAGCCCAGGTTGCTCTAATAGTGGCTTTTAGCTCTTCTGAATTGTTGGGTCTGGTGTATTGCATCTTCTTCTTCACAATACCCCATAGATTTTCTATGGGGTTAAGGTCAGGAGAGTTTGCTGGCCAATTAAGAACAGGGATACCATGGTCCTTCAACCAGGTACTGGTAGCTTTGGCACTGTGTGCAGGTGCCAAGTCCTGTTGGAAAATGAAATCTGCATCTCCAAAAAGTTGGTCAGCTGCAGGAAGCATGAAGTGCTCTAAAACTTCCTGGTATGTGGCTGTGTTGACCCTGGACCTCAGAAAACACAATGGACCAACACCAGCAGATGACATGGCACCCCAATCCATCACTGACTGTGGAAACTTTACACTGGACTTCAAGCAACGTGGATGAAGTGTCTCTCTTCTTTTCCTCCAGACTCTGGGACCTTGATTTCCAAAGGAAATGCAAAATTTACTTTCATCAGAGAACATGACTTTGGACCACTCACCAGCAGTCCAGTCCTGTTTCTCTTTAGCCCAGGCAAGACGCTTCTGACGCTGTCTGTGGTTCAAGAGTGGCTTGACACAAGGAATGCGACAGCAGAAACCCATGTCTTTCATACGTCTGTGTGTGGTGGTTCTTGAAGCACTCACTCCAGCTGCAGTCCACTCTTTGTGAATCTCCCCCACATTTTTGAATGGGTTTTGTTTCACAATCCTCTCCAGGGTGCGGTTATCTCTCTTGCTTGTACACTTTTTTCGACCACATCTTTTCCTTCCCTTCGCCTCTCTATTAATGTGCTTGGACACTGAGCTCTGTGAACAGCCAGCCTCTTTAGCGATGACCTTTTGTGTCTTGCCCTCCTTGTGCAAGGTGTCGATGGTCGTCTTTTGGACAACTGTCAAGTCAGCAGTCTTCCCCATGATTGTGTAGCCTATAGAACTAGACTGAAAGACCATTTAAAGGCTTTTGCAGGTGGTTTGAGTTAATTAGCTGATTAGAGTGTGGCACCAGGGGCCATCAATTTTGAACCTTTTCACAATATTCTAATTTTCTGATATGATGAATTTGAGATTTTCATTTGTTGTCATTTGTAATCATCAAAATTAAACAAAATAAACATCTGAAATATATGAGTTTGTATGTAATGTATGAATATAATATACAAGTTTCACTTTTTAAATGGAATTACTGAAATCAATCTACTTTTTCATGATATTCTAATTTTATGACCAGCACCTGTACACTACTAGAAGGCTCTCATACACGCTACTAGAAAGCTCTCATACACACTACTGAAAAGCTATTAGCGGATTTCAGTTGAAACGGAAGGTGTTTCAGTGAAACAGGAAGGACCGTCATTACACCGGAAGTTGTTTTAAACGGAGGTCATTCTGGCTAGCTCCGTACATTTTGTGCTATCTCCGGCCGAAATTGTATCAAATAAAATTATTGATTCATGCTCAGCTATCCGCTAAACAACTCACAGAAGCATGGGCATTACTCGACTTTATTTTTTATGTTTTTGCTTCAACAGAGATCCTTTTCCGGTGTTGTGCGAAATTCTGTTCCCATGTGAAAATCTGTTCCACCTGTGTCGGGAGCGCGCCGCACATTGCAGCCACATAAGCGGATCTGATCATTTCCCAGGCCTTTCGGATCATTTCTTGGTTAAATAAAAAGTCGTAAAACTATACAAGGTTGAGACATTTAGTTTAATCAGCCGCTGTTGTTTACAAAATTGTAAAATAAAAATAATAAATGCGGTTTTCTTATGCCGTTTTGTGTTGTTATTTTAAACACCAAGAGAATCAGTCTCTTTCCAAGTTTTTTCACTTCAGCCTGACAGAAATAAAAGTCAAGTCACCAAATACCAAATTTGTATTGATAATTTTTTATTACTGATATAAGATGATGGGAAGTGCCTGATAGCAGTTCCATAATATGGAAACAAATTAATTTATCTGCAAATCTTAAACTGTGTTTATTCCTCTCTTCATCAACAACAAACCATCTGGATTCGGTGATATTTGAGCAATGTTTGCCTAAATTAAAGGAGGGGGACCATATATTTTAGCTTTCTAATAGTGTGTATGAAAGCTTTCCAGTAGTGTGTTTGAGAGCTTTCTAGTAGCGTGTATGAGAGCGTTCTAGTAGTGTATATGAGAGCCTTCTAGTAGTGTATATGAGAGCGTTCTAGTAGTGTATATGAGAGCTTTCTAGTAGTGTATATGAGAGCTTTCTAGTAGTGTATATGAGAGCTTTCTAGTAGTGTATATGAGAGCGTTCTAATAGTGTATATGAGAGCGTTTTAATAGTGTATATGAGAGCGTTCTAATAGTGTATATGAGAGCGTTCTAGTAGTGTATATGAGAGCGTTCTAATAGTGTATATGAGAGCTTTCTAGTAGTGTATAAGAGAGCTTTCTAATAGTGTATATGAGAGCGTTCTAGTAGTGTATATGAGAGCGTTCTAATAGTGTATATGAGAGCTTTCTAATAGTGTATATGAGAGCTTTCTAATAGTGTATATGAGAGCTTTCTAATAGTGTATATGAGAGCGTTCTAGTAGTGTATATGAGAGCGTTCTAATAGTGTATATGAGAGCGTTTTAATAGTGTATATGAGAGCGTTCTAATAGTGTATATGAGAGCGTTCTAGTAGTGTATATGAGAGCGTTCTAGTAGTGTATATGAGAGCTTTCTAGTAGTGTATATGAGAGCTTTCTAATAGTGTATATGAGAGCGTTCTAGTAGTGTATATGAGAGCGTTCTAATAGTGTATATCAGAGCTTTCTAATAGTGTATATGAGAGCTTTCTAATAGTGTATATGAGAGCGTTCTAGTAGTGTATATGAGAGCTTTTTAATAGTGTATATGAAAGCTTTCTAGTAGTGTGTATGAGAGCTTTCTAGTAGCGTGTATGAGAGCGTTCTAGTAGTGTATATGAGAGCCTTCTAGTAGTGTATATGAGAGCCTTCTAGTAGTGTATATGAGAGCTTTCTAGTAGTGTATATGAGAGCTTTCTAATATTGTATATGAGAGCTTTCTAGTAGTGTATATGAGAGCCTTCTAGTAGTGTATATGAGAGCGTTCTAGTAGTGTATATGAGAGCGTTCTAGTAGTGTATATGAGAGCTTTCTAATAGTGTATATGAGAGCGTTCTAATAGTGTTTATGAGAGCGTTTTAATAGTGTATATGAGAGTGTTTTAATAGTGTATATGAGAGTGTTTTAATAGTGTATATGAGAGCGTTCTAATAGTGTATATGAGAGCGTTCTAGTAGTGTATATGAGAGCTTTCTAGTAGTGTATATGAGAGCTTTCTAATAGTGTATATGAGAGCGTTCTAGTAGTGTATATGAGAGCGTTCTAATAGTGTATATGAGAGCTTTCTAGTAGTGTATATGAGAGCTTTCTAATAGTGTATATGAGAGCTATCTAATAGTGTATATGAGAGCGTTCTAGTAGTGTATATGAGAGCTTTTTAATAGTGTATATGAAAGCTTTCTAGTAGTGTGTATGAAAGGTAAAGCTTTTTACCAGTTTATATGAACAGTTCTCACTACTTTGTATGAGAGCTTTTGAGTAGATTATATAAGAGGTAAATGTTTTCACTAGTTTATGTGAGAGCTTTTTACTAGTGTTTGTGTGAGGTTTTCAGTATATTATATGGAAGAGTGTAATTTAATATGTGTATATGCAAGTTAATTCTGATTTATGTCCCTGGGGGCACCTCATACAATATTGCCAAATGTATTTTCTTACCTATCCCAATTATTGGAATCAGGTGCTCTAATTTCCCCCTCATTTCCTGCTTAATATTTTCCCCTCTGATTTCTAACCTTTATTGTAATTTTTTTACAGCATTTTTTTACAGAACAAGGTCAGCTTGGATGAAAATAACTTTTCATTTAGCTTTAATTTAAGTAGGATGGTTTACCTTGGCTTCATCTTTCCAGGTCCGCTGGTCTGATGTTGGTGGGATGGCAGAGGTGAAGCTGAAACTGAAGCAGGCCGTGGAGTGGCCCCTGAGGCACCCGGAGGCCTTTACCCGCATGGGGATCCAACCACCAAAAGGAGTCCTGCTCTATGGGCCCCCAGGCTGCTCCAAAACCATGATAGCCAAAGCCCTGGCCAATGAAAGTGGCCTCAACTTTCTGGCTATTAAAGTGAGTTTTCACCATTCAATTCAAGTTATTTTTTTTCATCCCTCTGTGCTGACCTAAAGTTATCGAATTACTTTGCTGGTTTCCTGATGAGTTAAAATTAAAGATGGTACTAAAGCTGGCTGTTTTTCTTTTATTTGATGGGATACATAAAAAATGAAGACATAATGTTTTACAGATGTTGGTCTGCATATCCTTTTCCTGATTGAATGTTCTGCCAAAACTGTGCGTATGAGTCAGCCATTAGTCTAAGGAGTGATGATTTGTTGTTATCTAACAATCTCTGCATTTGCAGCTCAGCATTATTCATAATTTGTGTTGCATTTTGTCTCTTAATTAAATAAATGGCATTCAGTCATCCAATAAGGGTGCATTTACTGTTTAGTTTAAAACACATTCCTCCAACATTTATTAGACATTAAAGATACTTTGCATTTTTCACTTCATATTTTTTCTGTTTTCTTTTCCAAAAATGTCTTAACGTACTCCTCCTTGCCTGTTTTCTTTCCCCTTGGTCTTTCCTGCTCCTTCACTATAGGTTGGGTTTTGTGACAGTGTTAATCATGTTTACAGCTGGAGAAAAAGACATTTAAAGGTCCCAAATATATTGACAATAAGGTCCCCAGAGGATATTTTGTTGTTTTTTTCCCCATCGGAAATGCAGACAAATCTCAATCCAGTCATCTCAATACAGAGTGCGGAACAATCCATTTTTTTAAACAGCAACTGGAAACCCAGACTGTAAACAACCTTTCAATGAACAAACTAACTAAGTAAACCAAAACCTGATATTTAGTCTGAGCTGCTTATGGCCTCTATCTGCTCTGATCAACTAACCAGGCTGCTACTAACAAAAGTAATCTATGGCCACATTCACACTGCAGGCCTTGATGCTCAATTCCCATTTTTTTTGTAAAATGCGATGTTTTTGCATTGCTGTTTAATTGCCAAATATATGCGTATGTGACCCCCAGTGTGGACTACATTCATACAATTTAAGTGTCCCGCATGCGCAGTGGAGGACGCAATTATGTCACAAGCAAGAATGCTCTGTGTTTACGGAAGTAAACATGGATGCTAGTGCTGGAGAACTTCTACCTCTCAACCTTAAAAACTAAATCTTTTCAAGCTGGTTAAACATAAATACTAGTCTCGGCATTATTGTCCACCATTGTTGTTTTTTCTGCCACTTTTGCAAGAATCAGAAGTGACCACTGTCGGGTATTAATGACATTCAGGTCGGATGGATGCAACCTGGCTGTTCAGACACTGGTTGCATTTGAAAAGATCAGATTCGTATCTGATATAAATATATGCCAAATATATGCGACTTGTATGTGATCTCCTGTGTAAACCGCATCGTCCACCATGGTTGTCGTTTTCTTGCTGCTTCCTATTATATGTCAAGATCCAGAATAGTGACCTTTGTCTGGTATTAATGGCGTTTAGGTCGGATGAATGCGACCTGGCCGTTCAGACAAGATCAGATTCGTATCGGATTCAGGACCACATAGCCAAGTGGCCTAGGTCGCATTGGAAAAAATGGGATCTGTGTTGTTCAGACAGCCATGAAAAGATCAGATCCAAGTCACATATGGGCAAAAAATCGGGTCACTTCAGGCTGCTGTGTGAACGTAGCCTAAGTCACTTGTTGGGCTGTTGGGCTCTGTGTGTAGACCAAAACAAGAAGTGTTACAAACAAAGCCTTTCTCTACTCTGAAGTCAGAATTCTGCCAAAAGGGTGAACGGATTAAAAAGAGCAGTTTTATTTAAAGCAAATGCAGGCTAACTACTCTCCAAACACATTTTAAAAGTTCATTATGTCCACATTAAATACTATATACCTACAGTATATCACACGCATAACTTCATACTCTTTATCTGTGCTCTCTTGCTTTTTATGCACCTGTAGATTCTCCTCTACTTAAGTGTAAATCTGCTTCTGCGTGTTCATATCAGCTTCAGCTGATGTGAATTATGATCAAAAGCAGCAGATAAGGCCAATAATATCTACATTTGTTGTTAAAATAATATTTTGCATGTTTAGATGGTCATAGATGTAACTGGTTACTTACCACCCCTGGTGCTATGATTTCAGAAAGGTTGCATTCAATGAACTAAAGGAAGATTAACAGTGCATATTAGTAAAAAATCAAAAGCTAAAGACAGAATGACAAGCGGGAATCTGAAGGAAGAAAAATAGATGATTTTATAGGATCAACACAGGAGAGGAAGAAGGAGAAAGATGAAAATCAAGGATTTAGAGACAAAGGCCTAATTCCATACTAATCAAAGAGTATAATCCAGTAAATTGTGACCGCTGTAGGGAGAATAAAACAAGATAACACTTTATATGGTAAATGCTCTGTATTTGTATAGTACTTTGCTTTGCTTCTGTTTTTAAGATATTAATCCATTCATAAACACATTCACACGCTGACATATTTTTTGCCATGGTTTAGATTCCAATTTTGTCACATTGTTAAGAAATGGAAAGCTATATACACAAATCATATCCCCTTGGTGCCGAACATGCACAAAAATATATTTAACATTTGGATACCCCAAATGCAAATGATTAAAAACTACGGCTATAAAACTCTCATAGACTTGTCTAACAATAGAAAGTGTAGCTCCGTCACTGGATGCAGCACATGGCTGATCAGTCATGTTGAAAAATGTGCAAAAAAAAAGTTTTTAGAAAAACATCTTTAGTGAATTTTGAGCTTAAAATAAGGATATTTTTATAAAGTAAATAAAAGAATAGCTTTTGAAAATGTTCAGGAACTGGACCGAAATAAATTTAAATAGCATCCAAAGTCCAAAAAACACTAAAGACTAAAGAAATGAGAAGTGCCTCGAAACGTTTATAATTTCATATATTATATTTTTCCCGCAATTTCAGATGAATATAACTTAAATTACCATCAATTAAAGATAAAGTAATCCCTGGGCTTACGAACGGGTGGTGATGATTTCCTAAAGAGCTGAAGCTGGTATGGCGGCAGAGGGCTTCTTCCTGTGATCTTTGACCCTGTGTTTGTCCTCCCTCATTCATCACCCCATCCTCTCTGCCAGACCCCCCACCTGCGATGTCACCCTTAACTCCTCTCTCGTTCAGGATACGTCGACAGATGTTGATTGATTGCCTTGTTGAATCGTTGATTGGGGAATATTTAGAAAAAGGCAGGAAGTCCAGACAGAAGCTCTCAACTGGCATCACTAAGTCAGAAGCCGATGCTGCTCTGACCTTCTACCTTATCTTTCAGTAAGGCGGGATAATTTTCCTCCTTTTTTCCTCACCCTCCAATGTCAAACACACTGGCTTTGATTTTTTTTCTTTCTTTTTGGTCGGCCTTTGAATAACTAAAGGTAGCAAAAAGGCTTTAGCCTCACAATCCTCTGGGGGAAAGGGACACACTCTACTAGGAATCTATAACAATATAGGTAGGGTCTAAATCAACAGATTTAATTAGATTATTGTTAATTTGAGTCAATATTATTGTAGCCTGCCAAAATAATTTAAATTTTCTCAATATTATCAAAAATTTACATTCCAAAATGTTTTTACTTTACTGTCTGAGACTGATTAAACGATAGGATTCTCCAAACGTACTAGCACCACTGGTGTTTACGAGGAAAAAATGCGTAAAAGTCTCTTAAATAATTGATTTGATTCTGATTCGTAAAGGTTTAGAGGTAATTTGTTTTGATCAATTAAGATGCAGTCCAATCTCTGACTGGATTACCTATACCAAAGAATACATTTTCAGCTATTACCTGAATCACATCACTAGTTATGCAACATAATGAAATTAGTATCAAATTAACATTGAACTGCAAATTATTGAGATAATTGAAGTTAAAGTTAATGGTGGCTGTAAGGGACAGTGGAAAATACTTTTTTTAGATTGACCTTTGTTCATAGAAAGTAAACTTTAGGAGTTAAGATGAGAATCGATTCAAAGTTCAAAAGTTGATTTGTTTTAACAAAGCACTATTCTCCTGTAATATTTCACGGGTTTTAACATTCAGGGAAAAGAATGTTTGATTATTCTTTATTTCATTATATATCTAGATGACTGGTGTAAAGAGTCACTCCTCAGGAGCTGATCTCCAGTGTTTTACTGGTTCAACGTACATAATTCAATCAAAGGGTTTGGTAAAGCTGGGCTTACACTGTGTGATTTATTTATTTTTTTTGTCATTTTCGGGACGACTTTCCAGTCGTGCCAGAATTTTCAGCCTGATCGCGTGTCGTGTAGAGTACAGGGGGTTACGAGGGACTATCATCCTCTCGCAACCACCTCCCGATCAGGAATTGCCCCGACCGTCGTGTGCAAACAAGGATTCTTCTTCTTCCTCTCAGAGGAAAACAAAGAAGCATGGCGGGGGTGCGAGTGAAATTGAGTTCTTTCTTTAAAATTGACAGATTGCAGTAGCCACGTTTGCTCAGCCATGTCTTTGTCCAAATACGTTGTTGCCTTTTCTTTTTAGGACTTTCAGCACAAGATTGCTCAAATTACCAATGCAGCGCGTTTCACTCTTATAAGCTTCATGTTCTTCTTCTACTCATTTGGCTTCCGGATAGACGAGTCAGAGTAGCACCATCCCACTGCGGAGTTAAGTCCAACATGGTTTTTTTAGACGTATAGTGTGAGCAGGTAGATCGCATCAGAGCGTCGTGCTGCACAGTGGTAGAACGTACATCGGGGGCTGTGAATTCACTCTGTGCGACGGAACCCTGCAGTTTCATCGTACAATGTATGCTGTAGCTGCGTGCAACGATTGAAAAAATCTCACAGTGTATGCACGGCTTAAGTTGATGCCGCAGAGCATTAGGAGCTAAGTTAGCTCTTGGATCAGTTGTGTCAGAGCAAAACCATCCAAAACATGCAAAGTACTCTAGACTGGACACTCCTGCTTTAGAGCTTACTGTCTGTTTTCGCTTTACTTCGCCTCACAGGTCGTTAGGGAATCATACCTGCCCACCAAGATGGCCA